ATTTTTTAATTAACTAGCTCTTATTTTATTACAATTCTATTAACAATTTTTAAAAAATATATTTTATATTTTATAAGAACAGGACTAGAAAATGCCTTATGCATTTTGTGTCCCTCCGATAGCTCAAAATTTTACATAGGTAAAGCCCCGGCGTATAACTAATAAAAAATGTTCCTTACGCAATTTTACCTTAACCTTAACCCTAACATAAATTATAATTTTTATTTTTGCTTTAAAATTTTACTAATTTGGTTATAAAGTCACTAATTGCATAGGGCACTATCTAGATTTATCCTTTTATAATATAGCAAAAAAATAGTATATATGGGATCTTTGCTAGGAAAATGACCCTCCGCTATGTTGATTTTGTGAATAAAAATTAAATTTGCCGACCATATAGTTATCCAATTTGAATGAATTTTTTTTATTTGTGGAGCTAACTAAATAATAAGCGTTACAAAATAAAGAACATTCGAATTGGATGATTAGATGGCCGGCATATTTAATTTCTATTCACAAAATCAACATAGCCTTGGATGGTATTTTCCTAGCAAAGATACCATATAGCTAACAAAATTTGTATAACTAGCTTTATTATCTTTATTTGTATATATTAGTTTAGATCTAGGTTTGATTTTAACATTTGTTTTTATCTAAGCCTTTATAAATATATAAATTTTATTACTGCTGTAAGTGGAAACGGAATTTAAGTAGATTTCGAATTTTTTGATTTTAGAATGTAAGATTTATATATTTTTAGAATGTACGTTTATATATAAATTTATTACATATATAGTATATAGTATATAGTACAATGAATAGAGATCTTGTGCTCTAATAAAATTATATATCTTTCAAAGAAATAATTTTTCTTCAAATAATTAAATCTTGTTCCAAAAATTTTTTGATACACTAAATTTACTCAAAGCACACGTAAACATTCATTGATGTTAATAAATTTTAAGTCTACATAGCATTATCCCTTATACATCCTGCAGACGAACTTTCTACAAAAAATTATGTAGGCTATTAAACCATGATGGATTATAGTGCATTTGAAGTTACACTATGATAGTAGGACGGTATAAAAGATAATGTCGAACAGTAGGATAGATTAGTGGAGCAACCAAAATTACACGTAATTTTACGTAAGTTTCATAAAATTAAATTTCATGTAATTTTCACACGGCATACATGAAACACCAGATTTACAACTTTTCGGCAGCATTATTGCATTATTTGATTTGAATGTACGATCCGAATTGTAACTCCTAAAACGCTGAAAATTTGATCTCAGAAACTAAATGTCATGTGTTCAAAATTACAAATACATGAAATTTCAATTTTACCGAATCTTACACAAAATTACGTAAAATTACTGAAATTTAACAACCCTAATGGTAGTACACGTACTAAGTAAAGCTGCCCAGATGATAATTTTGCTATAATATAGTTGGCTTGTATTATTGCTTAATGCCGGCCTAGCTTCGGGCCTATCCGACCGGGGTAAAATCGCCACCCAAAAAAGTTTCGAAAATCACGTGATATCGTCAATTCATCATGATTTGAATCATGATAATAATATTTAGTAAAATATTAATTGATTTAGCAAGTGATTTTTTTTTCAATTCTTCAAAATGAAATGCGATCGTTGCGGTCTTGACAAATCAAGTGATTCTTTTAAAAGCGTAAAATCCAATAAACACAATCTTCTAAAAACATGCATTGATTGTCGTAACCAAATTTCCACTAATAACAAACGAAAAAAGAATGAAAATCGAAATAAAATTATAAGAACCAATCAAGAAAATGCAATTGCGCCGGAAAACCTTGTGGATTTTATTTTCAATGCTCTTCCGGAAGACTATGACCCTGATTATTTATTTGAGCAAAAAGTTTTCATAATTCTGGATCCATTATTACATATTGTCGATACAAATTTAGAAGATCAAGTAGACAAAGAGGTTGCACAGCATATAATTAAGCTTATTTCGAAGGCTGATAAGTTTCCTTGGGTATATCACAAATGTAATAGATTGAAAAATTCAATTTCATTCACTTATTATTGTAATTGTCACGTGGAATTAAAAAATAAAAAAGCACGAGTTGATGATATTTCTAATAGACGAGATACGATGTCACGAATTGACCGATATGAATGCAACGGAACTATTCAAATTAACATTGAACATGCTTATAATTTGGCGATAGTTAATATATATCATTATCTTCACTCACCACCTGAAATGAGGATGTTTCTATTTCAATTCGTAATTATATTATAGAGAACAATTTATTAATAGTTCCTCAACTCTATGAAAACATTAAAAATAATAAGATCGATGGATTTTTAAATATCACTAGACATCAAATTTATTATTGGTCGAAGAAATTTGCTATGACAAAATACAAGTTATCTGATGATCAATTAGAATCAGCTCGATTATACTTAGAAACTAATTCAGGTTTCAAGCTTCTCTTTCAAGATCAACACATGCTGGCATTTTTAACTCCTTTATTGTTTTTATTACCAAATAAAGTTACAAGAACAATCGTTATTGATGCAACTTACGGGACTAACCATTTGAAATTTGAATTATATGCGGTACTGGGAATTATTGATAATTCAGGATTTCCCTTGTCATATTTTTTTCTTGATCCAAGATACTCATATGGTAAAACTCACGCAATTACTAAATGGTTCCAATATTTAAAACTAAATGGAATTCAAGATGTTAAAACTATTTTAATGGATAAAGATCGTGGACAACTTACTGCTGCAAGTAAAATTTGGACTAATGCAGAAGTTCAGTTATGCTACTGGCACGTACTTCGTGCAATCAAAAAAAAACTTACAAGCACTGGAATTGTGCATAATGTTTATAATTCTTATGAAGCGCATTCGCTTTGCCTATTGATTGATCCTACATGGCAACCACTTAGGCAAAATCAAACAATAGCAGATCATACAAATCAGGATCAAATATTAAATGAAAAAGACAAAGTTTTTTGTAAGAAAAATTTTCGTGAGAAAATTCTTCAGCTTGTTCGAATACATTTTTCATGGCATCCAATCATACCTATAGAACGCCCGCCAAACTTTTTAAGTATGAATCAAATTTGGATTGAAAGCGTTAAAGAACAATACAACTATTGTTATCAAAATGATCTCAAACATGTTTGGGTCTATTTATGGTCTGAATGGTACCATCCTGACAAATGGAAATTATGGGCTCGTGCATCAAGCTCAGAGCTTAATATTTTACGAAGTAAAATGACTATAGAAAGTCATTGGCGTATTTTAAAACACGATTTTTTTTTAAGTTTTAATCGTGCGAGATTGGATTTAATTATTTACATTATTGTAACAAAAGTTATTCCATCTCAAATTAGTCATTTACAGTTATTACGCAATAATAGGTACATGTTAAAATGGCATGAAGAATTTAGATTAGAATGGAAAAAATTGGCTACTCATATAATAAATCCAAACCCTAACCGTATTACTAACTTATCACACTGGATATGCTCATGTACTGATTTTCTTTTAAACCGCTTTCATATATGCAAACATTTAATTCAATTATACGGTCCTGTAGAACCAGGCTTTTTTAAAAAGGTAATATATATATCTCTCTCTATTTTTTTTTTTACTCAAATTTAAGCATTTACCTGGCTAATATTTATTAAGGTAATCCGTCAAGAATTCTATCCTTTATTGAAAATCAAGGAAGAGAATGCCTTTGCCGATTTGCCAGAAAATCTTCATCTCGCATTTGAAAATTTAAATTATAATTATTATACCAATGAAGCAACTGCCCATAATGATGACCCACAAGTTGACATTGATAATCAAGAAAAATCTGTAGCAACTGCCTATAATAATGACCCCCAAGTTGACGTTGATGTGGTTTCAAGTAATAATCAGGAAATGAATATTAGCAACCAAGATGCAATCTTGTACCAAACCCGTAAGCAAGAAATTTTTAACTTGCTAGACGCAACAAAAAAAATT